AAGCAAATGAGCGTATGGCAACCTCAATGTTTGTTCATGACTTCGATCGAATTGGACATACTTTTGTTGTCATCGCATGCATACGTCGCAACGAAGGAGCAGATCGAGAATCATTTACTGTTAATTTACGACAAAGATGGTGTGATTGTGGCCGCTTTCAGGCGTGGAGATATCCGTGTGCTCATGCAGTCGCTGCATGTATGCATACTGGAATCAATTCATACACTTATGTTGATGAGTGCTTTCACCTACAGAGGATATTAAATATATACAACCATGAGTTCAGACCGATCCCAAATGAATCTTATTGGGACAATCGAGATCATGATGAATGGTTGCCAAATCCACTACTTTGTAGAAGTCCAACGGGTCGACCGGAATCTACTCGTATTCATACCAGTATGGATATACATATTAGAGAGAAAGGCCAACCGAAGAGGTGTGGATTATATAGAGGTGAAGGGCATTCAAAAAGAAATTGTCCAAACCTTCCACAGTATAGACCTCAGCAGTAATCTTATTATTTTATAAATTTTTATATTATATGCGATTCAATTACTCGAGTACATATTTAATAATAATTATTTAAATTTAATTATTTAACTTTAATGATTTAATAATAATTATTTAACTTTAATGATTTAATAATAATTACTTTAATGATTTAACTTTAATGATTTAATAATAATTACTTTAATGATTTAATTTTAATGATTTAATGATTTAACTTTAATGATTTAATAATAATTACTTTAATGATTTAATGATTTAATGATTTAATGATTTAATAATAATTACTTTAATGATTTAATTTTAATAATAATTACTTAATTTTAATGATTTAATTTTAATGATTTAATAATAATTACTTGACTTTAATTATTTATATTTACTGATATAATAATAGTAAATATATTCGATTCAATTACTTTAATTTGATACAAATAATTAAAATAAGGATTACAACTCTTGTCGGTGTCGGGGTGTTGTTGAGTAATAATGTCGAGGCCCACGTCGGTTTCGTTGTTGTCGTTGCACTTGTTCAGGAGTTTGTTCAGCATAACCAACCTGCTCATTCATCGAGGGCATAGGTTCTGGTGTTGTAAATACATGCCCACCACCACTATGCTCTCCCATCTGAGGACAAACACTCGTACTTGTGATCATAGATGTCATCTGATCAAAATCATTTGTTGCCCCAAACATAGGAGGGAACATGAGTGATTGATGAGGAACATGTTGAGGAGTGTAGGGCGTAACACCAGAATCACCAACCATTTGACTAAATGATCTTGTGTGATCAAAAGATTCTGGTGGGATATTATCCATTGTCTCTTGTTCTGCTCCACGGTGAGAAGAACTCCCACTCCCACTCCACTCCCAGTCCTTCTTGGTTTCTCGGGTTTACCGAATTTTTTGGTATACTCTATAAATTGTCGCCTTTCTCTGATCGTTGTCAAGAACGGCTTTCCATGTTCCTAAAAATAATTCAGGTAATCCGAACTCTTGAAGTCAAAGTCATCTGGTTGTATGGGAGTGAGCGTTGGCAAGTATGAACCCATGTTGTTCCAATGATTGATATGGTTAGCATGCCTCACCGACCAATCCTCACCGACCCTACCCCGCCCATCTAATCGATGGAGAGCATCATGATTCTCTGGAATGACTGGAATATGTTGGTGGAAGTCGAACTGCCTCAACACTCTATCGACAAATTGGAACTCCACAAACATGAAATGGATCAATGGTGTAACAGCACACCAATATTCACAACCCTCCCAGACATGTTGCGGTACGCATGACATAATTTCTTGATCATGGTACGACCTCCAAATAAACTATAAAATAAAATTATATAGTTATTATTTAATTAAATAATTATAAAAATCAACAAATTAATAAATAACAATATTATAATATAAACATAATAAAAATAAATTCACTTATTAATTTTATATATACCTCAACTTTGCATTTGATGTCAATCTTAAACCTAAACTCTTTCACGTTGTTGTGCGCCAACCCCGTTCTTTCTATTTTATGCCTCCATCTGTATACCAATCAAAATAAAATTTTGTAATTATTTTTCATTTACAAAATATTCTTTATTTAATTAAAGATAAAATATTTTAAATCAATAAAATTACCTTCCGGCAAGAGGAAAGTCAACTGCAGTTCGGCTAATCGGTGTTAACCATGGAATTCTGTACCACGCCCACGATTGTAATAACATCGTGCATCCACCGATTTCAGTCGTGTACGCATCATTAACAATTAATGATGCCTTGCACATCTCGCGATACAAGAATGCCAATATTGCTGATCCCCAACTATACTGACGGGTCATAAAGAAGTTCTCCAAAAACGGAAGATATTGTATATGGACAAGATTACTGGATTTATCTGGCATCAAGATTCCGCCGATCAAACGTAATATATATGCTCGAGTTGCATATATAATGTCTCGCTCACTACATTGTGGATCGAGCTTAAACTCATTTGCCAACCAGGATAATCTCAGCCGTGACCCTTTTGCTACATCTTTGTCTGGTACCTTCCCAAGGTAACGCTCACATATTGCAAACATGTCAAGATCTGTATTTCCAACCACTGCATTCCATTTGTAGGAACCCCTAGTTGTAAAGCCACATCCTCCAAAGTGATCGTACATTCACCACATGGAAGATGAAAAGTATGAGTTTCTGGTCTCCACCTTTCAATTAATGCACTTATCAAACCGGGGATCAACCGAAATTCTCTTACAAAAGCAACATCATAAAAACCCACTGTTTTCAAATTATCAACAATACGTTGATCTGGCATCTCACAGTTGATAAGTCGAGGACGAAGGACTCGTTGTTCGTCATCCTGCAATTTATTAGTCATTGTAATTAGAATTAATACACCGTTCTCAAATAAAAAAAATAAGTCGATCATATTACCAGTTCTCCCAAATTACTCGAAATGTGTCGACCATCTAGTCTCAAAAGAACATTTTCTTCGGCCATGTTTCAACAAATCTAGACAAAAAAAATTAAATATTACACTCAATTATTACATTGTTTTATTCAAATAATCAATTGCATGTTATCTACTTTAATAAAAAATAAACATCAAATATAAAATGATCCCTAATTACTATTTGCTTCTCAACATTTTCAAACTTTGCAATTTAATCACTAAATTTATAAATTCTTTCAAATTTAACCAATTAAGCATATTAATACTAAATTCAAGCATAGTATACCAACTTTTTATAATTTACTCTAATTTCTTAAATTCCTCAAATTTTGCAAAACGATCCCTAATTACTATTTGGTTCTCAACATTTTCAAAGTTAGAAATTTAATCCATAAATTTTAAATTCTTTCTAATTTAACCAATTAAGCATACTAATACTAAATTCCAGCATAGTATAGCAACTTTTAATAATTTACTCTTATTCCTTAAATTCCTTAAATTTTACAAAACGGTCCCTAAAACTTTACAATGTTCCAAAATGGTCCCAACCTTATTTCAAATTATGTAACAACATATAAATTATTATTTCAGAGTGTAACAACATATAATCACAAAATTAATAAACTTATGAAACTAAAATTATGAGATCAATATGAAACCCTAAACCTTTAAAACAAAAATCAAATGAGATCTAGGGCTTGAGTTTAAATTACCTCAGGCTATGCTTTGTGATCTTACTGCTGATCAATCTCCCTCTCAAGCTCTCACTGCTTCTGTAATTGTGAATTGCCTCAGCCCCAAACTCTCACATTGCCTCAGCCCGAGCAGTCTCTTATAAACACATTCGTAACTCATCCATGCATTATTGGGTTTATTTGTTAAGAAGACGCCGAGCTATCCAGCCTTCCATGCAAAGACGCCGAGAAATCCTTACCTAAATGTAAAGAAGACGCCGAGAAATCCAACAGTTGCATTTTCCCCACATGCAGACGTGCAGGACCCCCACATGCAGACGTGCAGCCCTGCAGGACCCAGGACCCGTGATTTCTCCTTGTAGAACTCGTGCTCTCTCCTTGCAGAACCCGTGATTTCTCACGTCCAGTCCCATGCACAGCACTGAAGACGCCGAGATTTCCTACGAAGAATCCAACTGAAGACGCCGAGAGTTCCTATGAAGAATCCAACTGAAGACGCCGAGAGATCAATCATACATGCACAGCTCCCACGCTTCCACATCTGCTGAAGACGCCGAGCTTTCCATATTTTCTATAGCAATCACCCCATTTGAGGAAATAATAATTAAAGTACATTATTTGGGGAATTAAACCTCCCCGTATACATTATTCCGGCAAAATAGCCATGTTTCTATATCACTATATTAATACCTATACAATTTCAATATTTATTCTTTTGTTAAAAAGAAAATTCTTCTTTTTGCATTTTGTCCCATCATTAATGCAAATACGCAATGTCAGACGTGTTTCGCATGACGTAACAGCCATCCCTGTCTTACGCCCCGTTTTCTTCCTTTCTTTGTTCTGATAAAATTGACCTTTTGATATTATCGCTTGATTCGTTTTCACCTTGCATAATATATATTCGTCGAAAATGAAAATACCCCATGTTATGAAATTGCACGTGTCGATTACCAATTGGCCATGATCAAATAGAAAGGGGCCACATTACCAAAACTTTCCATCTTTTTCTTCCTGACTCCGACAGTCTCAGGCGGCCCGCACACACACCCAGTCTCTGCAACAATCTGCATGCAACACCAAAAACAACAAAGGTGAAACACTTTCTTTCATGCTTGAGATTCCCTTCCGTATTTAAAGAAAATAAATCTTTAATCTTTAACCTATCCCAAGAACAAGTTTCAAGCTTTAAATTTCTTTTCTTTGGATTTTCTGATTGTTTTATCAGTCCTTTTGTTTGATTTCAGCTGCAAGATTGGTTCGGTCGGCAAATTTTGTGCAGGTGATCGAATTCATCACTTCCTTGATTCTTTCCTCTCTCTCCTAAGCTTTCTACTTCAAACTATGGCAACACGACTCCGCCGCGTCACCAACAGAAGATCGCCGCCGGCTCCGAAGCTTGGAGTTGTCGTTCTCTTCATGCTTTTGTCGGTTTGTGTGATCGGAATATATAGCCATTTCCAGAAGATATCTTATTTTCTCCGACCAGTTTGGGACAGTCCCCCAAAACCATTCACACACCTACCTCACTATTATGCCGAAAATGTCTCGACTGAACATCTTTGTGGCCTCCACGGTTGGTCCGTACGTCGGCAACCACGCCTTATCTTCGACGCCATCATCTTCAGCAATGAACTAGACATACTTGATATCAGGTGGTCATTGGAAATTTTAATTTTTATATATTTTTAGATATTTTTTTTATTAATAGTAATATATTTTCGATATCTGAAATTTATAAATTAATCTTTTTAATATAAAATTATGCAGATGGCATGAGCTCGATCCCTATGTTTCGAAATTCGTGATCTTGGAATCCAACACCACTTTCACCGGCATCCACAAACCTCTTTTCTTTGAATCGAACCGTGAAAGATTCGCCTTCGCCGAGGAGAAGATCGTCCATGGTGTATTCCCCGGCCGAATTGCAGCCCCCGGTTCGCACGATGATCCCTTCGTTCTCGAGTCGCTCCAACGCGGAGCGATGAACAGATTGCTTCACGCCGCCGGAATATCCGACGGAGACCTTCTAATAATGTCGGACACGGACGAGATCCCGAGTCCACACACACTGAAACTACTACAATGGTGTGATCAATTGCCACCAATATTGCACCTTGAGTTGAAGCATTACATGTATTCGTTCGAGTTCCCTGTGGATTACAGCAGCTGGCGAGCCACGGTCCACGTCTACAGTCCCGGGACGACTCGGTACCGCCACTCGCGGCAGTCGGACGTGATATTATCCGATGCGGGATGGCACTGTAGCTTTTGTTTTCGAAACCTGGAAGAATTTACGTTCAAGATGACTGGTTATAGCCATTCAGACAGAGTGAAAAGGAAAAATTTTCTGATCAAATCAAGAATACAGAGAATCATTTGCAGGGGAGATGATCTTTTCAATATGTTTCCCGAAGCGTATTCGTTCAAGGAGATGATTAAAAAGATAGGTCCCATTGAGCGTTCGGTTTCAGCAGTTCATCTTCCTTCTTATTTGATACAATATGCACATAGGTTTAGGTTTCTTCTTCCTGGGGGATGCATGAGAAACAACGATTCACCAAGCACAATTTCTTAACTCTAAAAATGGGAAAATCCCAGAAAAAAACACTATACGTGAACATTGTTGAATATTGATTTTGTTTACTTTTGTAAATGGTCAAAAGTTTTCAAATATAATGACTACTTTGAGAGGAATTTCACATTCTGACATGATGATTTAATTTTAAAAAATTTAAAAATTAAAAATATTACAACAGTTAAAAAATAATATTTTTTAGAATTCGTCTAGCTAAAATGATAAAAGTTAATAAAGTTAAATAAAAAATTTGACATTTTTTTTGGACCGTCCATTTTATACATGAGAGAAAATAAACAAAGTACACAAAATGTGACGGAGATGGGAGAAAGTAGTTTTATTAACGCACTAACCTCCTAAAGGAAATTGGAAATTAGTGGCCAACAAAGGTTAATGTGCAGCGGCCAGCGGCTGCTACTGCTGGGCAACTTCCTCATGTATCCCATACTTCCCATCATATTCTATATTTTATTATAACAAATGTTTTAGAGAAAATACTTATTAATCCATTTAGTAATTTTAGGGAATAAGGAGAGTGTTATTTTTCTTCGAAATCATAAGTTCGAGCAAATACATTTACATATTATGCATGTGTTATTAATATTTATAAAAAAATTATGATCATATACTACATTATAACCATCCTAAACCATTTAAAGTAATCTCTTATTGCAATAGTATATATAGTTATGTATTATCATAAGGATTAACATTGTGATTGTTTATATCCTATTTTAATTTTGTAGTTAAAAATTTAAATTGCATCGTACAATTAAAAGTATATAATTGGTATCCTAATTATACATTATTTTGTTGAGTCTTCGACTATTAAAAATTACAAAATGATTTTTTGATTATAGGGCGTTCCTTTATTGAGTCCCTAAACTATTGAAAGTTGCAAATAGTCACCTAATCATACATATATTTCAAACTCATCATTTTCGTTAAAAAATTGACGACCATCTGAATTGGATGTTAACCTGCTCACTTAGATATGCTAAAATTTGATCCCCATAAATATTTGAGTTGTAACTTTCAGATTGGTCTTCGTTTACATTATGTCGTTGAGCTGGTGCTTGAAACATTATGTCATCGAATTATTGCTTAAAAGCAACAGTGGTTCCAATAAACATCATTAAAATATTATTTTATCATATCTCAGTTAGCATGATAACTTTCAGCCCAGATGACCGTTAATTTTTTAACGGATAAGGACGAGTTTGGAATATACAAATAGTTGAGTGACCATTTGTAACTTCTAATAATTAGAAGGCTCAATAAAATAATTCCATATAATTAAGAGATCATTTTATAACTTATAATAATTATGAAATCAATAAAATAATCCCCATCTCTAAATCATTTTATTTATGAAACTTTGATAAATGCAAAGACCTTAAAAGAATACCAAATTAAAGGACGGCAGCCCCCTCCTGCCGCCCCTACAATAGTAGAGGTTCGATGAAGGGAATGAGATGTTTGGTGCGGCTGCATTGGGCATGTCTAAGGTACGGAAGTTTTAATATACAACTATGGAAATAAGATATCGGAAATATTATTATTTTAAATTTTTTTGGGTAAAATTTTATTTAAAATATTATTTTTTCTATCAGAAATGTTAATATTAGACGCTACCTGAAATATTTAACATTTCCGATAAAACAATACCTAAAACATTATTTTTTCTTCAGGAACTATTAAATATTGGGCACAACCTAAAATGTTATTTTTTATACTTAAAATTAGATAGCGAAATTAACATTTTCGGTAAGAAAATAATATTTTAGGTAACACTTTACCGGAAATATTAAAAAATATTAAAAAATACCTTTTATTAACCGTATATTAAGATAATCTAACAACAGAATTAACCACTGCATTGACAACGATGTTGGGTGATAATGGTGTTTGATGGAAATGATGCGGCGGTGTGAAAAATAAGGTGACATAATAAGATTTAAATTCAAATATTATGAATTCATTTACTGATTATAATAATAAAAGAAAATATTGTTATGTCTAGAGATTAGGAGTTCGAACGAATGTTTCTGTAGAGTATATGTTATTAAAAATATTATGAATAGATATTACTTTATAATTATTCGATACTATTAAAAAAATTGAATGTCATGGATAGAACAAGTTAAATTCAAAAGATTATTTTTATAATATTGATATCGGTTTAATTATTATTTGGTCTATTTCATTTCATATAGACTTTTGATAAAGATGAATATAAATTTAAGAAATTATATTAAAAATTTAAAATGTACAAGTTATAAAATTTTAAAGGTACAAAATTAAATCACCCATAAAAAATACAAGAAAAATTTAAATTATAGGAAGATTTAAAAATTTTAGGAATACAACTACACTCTTCTCTTAGGTTTATCCAAGACTCTTTACCTAGTAAAAAAACATAATGCTAAAATGAATCCCCAATATTTATCAAAATTATCATTTTGGCTCATATTAGTTTTTGGAGTATTTTGTCCACAATATTTCATTTTAGGACAAAAAAAACCTCTAACGTTTGATTGAATAGTCATATTACTCTTATTCTTTTTTTATGGAGCATTTTAGCAATCATCGATTCATTTTAGTGTAAAAACTCTATTTTAGAGTGTTAACCAATTGTTAACTAACAATTTTTATCAATAGAGGGGTTTTTTTGTCCTAAAATGAAATGTTGAGTCAAAATATTTCAAAAACAAAAAAAGGTCCAAAATGGTCATTTTGGTAAACGTTGGATACTAATATTGTAGACACTCATTTTCGCCCGGAGTTATTGTGTTTTTTTATTATAGTTTGTAAAAATGTTTTTGACAAAATATAATATATAATTTTCAGAAAATGATTTTCAAAAATTTATATATTATATAGTTTTTGAAAATATTTTTAAAATATATATAATATATAGTTTTGAAAACATTTTGAAAACGTTTATATATTATATAGTTTTTAAAACATTTTGAAAACATATATAGTATATAGTTTTAAAAACATTTTTTGTGAAATTATATAATATATAGTTTTAAAAACATTTTTTTGAAAACTTATATAATATTTTTAAAACGTTTTGAAAACTATGTAATATATAGTTTTGGAAACTTTTTTTTTTAAGTATAATATATAGTTTTCTAAAACATATTTTTGAAATATATATATTATATAGTTTATATCATATTATTTATTTTATTTTATTTTATTTTATTAATTTAATTTCATATATTTTTTCTCCAGGTCCAAAAACGGGTCCATAAACGGGTCCAAATCCAGTCAGACGGGCTTGATCCAGCCCAGAGGTCAAATTAGGGTTCCAGTATATGTCATAGCGCCACACAACAGGGGACCGTTGGATCAACAAAGAGATCAACGGCCAACATAGCAAGAGAATCAGGGTTTGTTTAATCCACAAAGAGCTATCAGCCGCGGCCGATCTTGGACCGTTGGATCTGACCCAATCCAACGGTCAAGATCAAATCAAGGTTACCAGAAGCCTGAACGCCACCACACACTGGTCACCGAGATTTCCGGCCGAGGGGATCGGGACTGACCCATCTCGAAATCCCCGGCCAACCAACCACGATCCCGAGATCGTCGGGACTCCCAACGGCCGGTGGGGGTTATAAAAACCCACGACCAACACAATACAGAGGGGGTTATCGGGAACCAAACAAAACCCACAGAGAGCATCGTCGAGAATTAAACAACCACAAACAAACAACGAGAGTGAGACCATCAACAAGGTCAAAGCAACCAACCACGAAAATCAATTAAAGCCAACAGTACATCAGAGTCACAAAAACCAGAAACCAGAAGACATCAAAAACCCATCAAACCACAACTACCAAATACATCCAAGATACAAAGCAAAATATATCAAAGAAGGATCGAAACCCTTGGCGCGAGGAAAAGCACCACGTGAGGAACGAAAAACGTCGGGATACGAAGGGTTTTAAGGGTAAAAATCGAATCTTTACGCCTAGATCTACGCCGGTAGGGGCATATTTTGTGTTTTTGAGTCACAGATTTAGGTTTACGGGGTGGATAGGAGTATTTTGAGGGGCTTTGGTTTTTTCGGCCGCCGCTCGCGGCGGCCGTCGACGGTCGTGGATAGCGTCGGCAGGTGGTCGGAATCGCCAAGGGAGAGGGGTTCAGAGCCTTCTCTCGTTTGAGAGAGATGAATCTGTAAGGAAATGTTGAAAATGAGCTGAGAAAAGGTGTGTTTGGGCATTTATATATGAGGGACCAGTGTGCAAATAAAGGATTCTTAAATCCTCTCCGCAGTCCCTATCATTTTTGAGTCGCAGTTCAATTTGGTCACTACCTGTAAAATTGCCTCCATATTTCTGATTTAATCAATTTGGTCCCTATTTATATTTTTTTATATTCTGTGAATTGGTCCCCTAACTTTTTATTTGTTCTTTTGCAGTTCATTTTCTAATTCATTAAGCTCAATTTGTTCCAATTTGATCCTAAGTTTTATCTTTATTTTTTTATTTTACTTTTAAATATTTTTTAAACTTAACCTTTTATTATTTTTTTATTATTTCTTTCTTTCATTATTATTTTTTATTTTTTTATATATTTTATTCATTTTTTGTTTATTAGCATTTTGTTTTCGCTTTTTATCTAACATATTTTGTTTCAGTCGTGATTTCAGCCGATCAAATGGTAAGTAATTCGGATCGAATAATTTTAATTTTAATTTAAATTCTAATTTTCGCAATTAAAGACAACCGATAAATTAATTGGTACCGAAAGGGCGGTTCAAGGGTGCTAATCCTTCCTTGACCGTAATCGACTCCCGAACCCGACATGTTTTTGGTACAACGCAGATCAGGTAAAATGGTGTCCGACCCACCAAAATTCGCTCTAAATTGGTCGGTGGCGACTCCCAATCCACATTTTCCAAGTCGAAGCCCAATTCCGGGGCCCAACCGAAAGACGGTTCCGACAAATATTAACATGGGTAAACTATATGGATGATCCCTCGT